CTATCCCACAATCCATCAGCAGCTGCCTGTTGATCAATTTGTAGACAGAAAGAGGAATTAGAGTAACCTGAGGCGTACATCAAACAAAACTATTTTCACAATAAGCTAAAGGTCAAACGCCTAAACGCCAACATATGTTATGACGAGGGAATATTCTTGATAGGAAAAGATGACTTCATTTTTCACCTCTAAGCAAAGTATGCTGCTATCAAGGTGACAGAATGCGCAGTAGTTTTTATGAACTGGTTACAAGGAAAGGATGAAAACAGAGAAGACCTTACATTAAGTGAAGGATTTTATGAATTTCATTCAAGTAAGAAACCGCCATTTTTAAGAAACTCAGAAATCAATGGTACTCTAGGCGTGCCAGTCTAAAAAGAGTGCTTGCAAAAGTTCAAAGTCTATCCGTAAGCAATCCGTTAAAATATTATTGTTATGGTAACCGCACAATGCCTTGAAGTTACACCAACAAATAACCTGACTTACTTGAGAGCAACAAGTTTGGCGGCATGCTGAATGTCCCGGATGGAGACATGTTGTTGATGTAATTGGTCCATAACTTTGGTGTATTCTGGATGATTGGCAGTGAGCACCAAAAGCGGGTGGTTGCATAGCTTACGCAGGTACTGAAGAGCCTGGGAATTATTTACATGTCAGATTGAATGAATATTCATACTGCATAAGGTTATTTGTGGTAAGCACTGAGGACAGACTAGTGTCCATGATCAAATTCACAATTAAACGAGTAAAATAAACGTTGAATGGCAGTAAGAATGAAATCAATATTAACCTGGAAAACGTGAGGATTATCTTTGCTTGCTTTCTCGTTTTTGTTTTCTTCATCGATGTGAGAAACTGTTTCCTCCAAACCTTTCTTGACCTGAGACTTGGCGAAGTCTTCATATAACTGAACCTGTAAAACGAAAATTTTTTTTCTTGAGTGAGAGGAACGACCTGGAGGGCAATTTTCGGAAATTCTCCAAAAAAAAATACCACTAAATACATGTTGATGATCCTTGAAACTTCGCACAGCTGCTTGAATATTCATATTCTGTCGACAACTATCAAGTATTGTCGAAAACTATTATACATCGACCCAGTGGCGCACTTTGATCGTTGGCCATAGCAACAGACTGACCTGTAGGGGACTCAGTTCACAGTAGTAATCTTGAATGATCTTAGGTGGAAGATCTTGTAGTACATCTTCTTTCAGGCGCCTCAATAGGAATGGTAAAACCTGACGATGAAGGGCCTCCATGGCCAAGGCCCCTAAGAATGGGACACATGTGTCAATACAGACCACGGTATCACCTCATTTATGATCCACAACGCCATGAAATCTTACTGACAGACGAACAGTCTACTCCTAAAGGACCTTCAATTTCCTTCAAAGCAATTACTTATTTACCAAATCGTTACCGAGGAGGGACAACTCGCTTTCTTTAGGGCGTGGTCTTTGGAATAAAAAGGGTGAAGCCGGCGGAAAATCAAGGGTAAAACAATCCAACATTTTCTATGATAGCTGAAAAGCGAGAGCGTCTTGCAGGGGCCGGTTTCACTTTTTTTCTGGTGGGGCACAACATCTATTGTCCTTTTCGTTCAATAAACGTTAAGCCGAATTTCAGGCTGCTGAAGTGGCTAACACATGTAACTAGCGGCTTCGTGGAACTCTTGAGTGGCGGAAAGAGGATTGGAGCTCTGACGTTCATTTAAATGTTTCTACTGCCTTATTTTTCATCACCGACCAAAAGCTACGCAGGCTTTGTGTTAGCTACTTAGTACTTAATTCACGGACACTCACCAGCTTCTTGTTCCTTAGAGGACGATTTTGCGTCCCTACTCTGTAGAATTGGTTTACCAAACCGAGACTGAAACTGCTTTTCACTTCCG